TCCCCTCCCCTCCCCTCCCCTCACCTCCCTCCCTCCCTCCCTCCCTCCCTCCCTCCCTCCTCTCCCTCCCTCCCTTCCCTCCCTCCCTCCCTCCCTCGCATCAAACTACAATCACAGAAGCTTCTGCTCGTTGCAATCACACTGCACACGATTTTCCAGCATCAAGGCTGTTGGCTGACTAGTCGAACCTGAGAGGAAGATGTAAACCTCAACATGTCCTGCCCTGCCGCCCGGAGGCCGAGGCTGTTGATGTCAATGACAACTTGCAAGTTCTTTCCTGTTGGTGTTGTTGAGAAGTGAAGGAGATGAAAGTTAGAACGACCTTTCTTGACTTGCACGACCTCGAAGCATTCAGTCGGAACATTCGCAGAGAGTGCAAGATCCTGTGGTAAAGAGAGCAGCGTCAATCATCCTCATCATCCTCATCCTCATCCTCATCCTCATCCTCATCCTCATCAGCATCATCATCATCATCATTATCATCATCCTCATTATCATCATCATCATCCTCCTCCTTCTCATCCTCATCCTCCTCCTCCTCCTCATCATCATCATCATCATCCTCATCCTCCTCCTCCTCCTCATCATCATCATCATCATCACCACCACCACCATCATCATCATTATCATGTTCACAGTCACCTTCATCAAAGCGTTGTCGAAAGCATGTCTTCTCGTCGACTCTTCTAGATCTTCTTCCTCCAAGTTCTTCCAACCCATCGCATCAAATAAATCTTTTCCTTTTCTCCCCCTCCCCCTCCTGCTTCTGATTTCTGCTTTCTCCAGCGCTCCTGTTCCTATCCCACTGCCTCTTTCCCTGCGCCACCTCTCTGCATTCCGTTGCTCCACCCCTTCTTCTTCCTTTCTCCCCTCCCTCCTCCTGTTCCTTCCCAAGCTTCTTCCCATCCCTCCTCCTCCTTCCTCCCTGTGCTCCTCCTTCCTCCCGCTCCTCGTCACTCACCATGTTGAGAGAAAGGAGGACCGAGAATCTCTCCACGTTGAAATACTCATAAGGGACTCCCTCGCTCGCACGAGCAGGAGGCTCTTCAACTCCCTCCTCCTGCAACCCCAACTTGGGTCAGATCCTCCTCCCTCCTCCCCTCCTCTGCTTCCATCTTTCTTCTCTGCTCTCCTTCTCTCCCTCTCCCTCCACTCCCTCTACCCCTCGTCATCGTGCCCCGTTCTCCTGCTCCTGCTCTTACCCTTGGTGGGAGAGACTCGTACGACATCGGCTGCTGAAGCATCGAGCGCTTCCATGGCGCCCTCTGCAATGTGCCAGAATGAGGACAAGAGGAGAAAGAGAAAGGAAAAAACGAGGAGGAGACACACAGTTGAGAACGGAGGGGAGGAGGAGAGAACGGTAAGGCAGGAAAGGAGGAGGAGGGAGCGGAGAACGGCAAGGGAGAAGAGGAGGGAGGAGAGGAGGGAGGAGGAGAGGAGGGAGGAGAGGACTCACCTCCCTCGGCTTCGGGATGGCAGCCCCAGTGCTGTTGACAAACACCTGCTTCGAGATTCTCTTCTCGATCCCCGTCGACGTCATCACTAGCATCGCTCTGTCGTGCGACTCGTGCTCCCTCTCCGCAAAGCCCCTGGGACGGCCGTAGCCGACGGGCTGCTGGTGGGTCTCAAACTTCTCCCGCAGCTCTCGCCTGCGATCTTCGGTGTAGTTGTCGTTCAGTGTTGAGATCTTGATGTCTTTCAGCCTGCCATCCACCTTCACCGCACACACATGCAGGCGGCAATGAAGGAGCGGACCTGTTCTCCAGCTCTTCCGCCATGGTTTTATCGTTGATGCTCGCGTTTTGAATGACTGCAAGGTAGAAGAAGGGCTCAACAACAGTCCTCCCCTCCTCCCATCCATTACGTCCCTGCTTTGCTCCACTCTCCCTCTGGTCTCTCTAGTCCCTCGCCCCCTCCTGCTCTGTCTGTCTGTCTGTCTGTCTGATTCTCTCTCCCTCTCCCTCTCCCTCTCCCTCTCCCTCTCCCTCTCTCGCTCCCTCTCCCTCTCCCTCTCCCTCTCTCTCTCCCTCCCTCTTTCCCTCGCTCTCTCCCTCCCTCCCTCCCTTTCCCTCTCCTCCTCCTTACTTTCATCTTCTGCTTGGAAGTTTTCACGAAGACGTGTCGCACCTATCAGCGTTCAGACATTCAGATCATTGCGCATGGGTCGGCACCAGCACGAGGATCAGCCGGCAAGAGCCATGAGGGTCGAATGGTCTTTCCCGCCATGTCACGGCTGTAGCCTTTTTTTGCTTCTTCCACCGCGCCACCCCGTTACGTCTGCTTCCTCCTGACCAACCCAGTGGCTGGTGGAAGAGAAGGGTCAGTGATAGGACAATACAGGAAGAGCCATCCCAAGTCTTGTGTGATGCCTCCTGTTCTTCTTTGAGTTGCTATATCCAAAATCTCTCCCTCCTACCCTCAACTCCTCACTGCACTCAACCCTCTGCCCTTTCCTCTCTCCTACTGTATCCTTGATTCTTCAAGTCGCAATTTCTTCCCTCACTCCACCTTTTTCAAACCCAACATCTACCTACCTAAACTCCGGCACAGCACCCTCGTCATTGTTGACTCACTCAGAAAACAATCTCATCAGCACCATACCACCGATTCCTGTCTTCACTTCTGATACCATACTCTTCTTCATTATTCCGCATCATATATCCCCCTCTTCGTTCCTCTTCCTCCTCTCCCCCCATCCTCTCACTCTCTTCCCCTCGTCTTCCTTCCTTGTTCCTCTACCGATCTGCCGCCCTGATCGCATTTTTGTCTCCTCGCTCCGACTCTGAGGCGAACCTGAAAACTGATAGTACCAGAACTCAGTGAAGCCGTGGAACCCGGCGTTCTCGGGGCCCGGCGGGGCCGAAGCCCGACACCTTCTGTCGGGAAACTCCAGCACCCCCATGGCACATGGGTAACCCCGTACATCCTTTCTCTGACATCCATTTCAAAACTTATCTGTAATATTCATTTGTGATAGTAAATTTTGAAGGAAATTTCTCACAATAATGAAAATTGACCGTACCCCACCCCTCTGGGAGATATCAAAAGAACCCCCACCCCCTAGAGTGCCAAGGACGTGGCCTTTGGCTGGGAACAAGAGGACTTAATTTAGCAGAGATGTGTCTTAATTTAGGTCCTATGTCGCTAAAAGGATCTCAATTTCGGTAGAATATCCCTCAATTAAGCAGAAAGTGACTAAAAGGCGTCAGGATCCCGATGGTTGGGGAATGCAGACGAGTGGGGGTCCCGCATAGGGAGGGAGGGAGAGAGCGGGGGGGAGAGAGACAAGGAGGGAGAGCAGGAAAGAGAATGGATTGATGATGCTGAGAAGAGAATGTAGAGAGGAAGATAACTTGATGGTGTAGGCGAGAGAGATCAGTCCCAAGGAAATCAGGTAGGATGACTGGGGTGAGAAGAAGGAAAAGACGCAAGAGAAAGCTATGGTGTGAAGCAAAAAGCTATGGTGTGAAGCAAAATGTGAAGGGGATGCGGAGAGGATAGTTTATATAGAAAAATGATTGGGTGCATAATATGAATCGATCGAGGAGCTGGGTTAAGGAAGTAGAGCCATGTGGGCGGAGAAAGGCGCATGCAACTGGAAGCAGCTGCCGTAGATCCAAAGTGATCTGATGTTCACCCGATGACACGATGTCATGAATATCATGGATTTGTATTGATGTCTATGATGCCATGGATGTTTCATGGCAATAATGTCGTGAGCGTGTATGATGGCAATGATGCCATGGAGTTCTTTTTTGTGTTGTTAATGTTCACTGGCCAGTCACCAGAGCTCTTAAGTGAAGCTGCAGCAGGGATGTCCGTGGAGACCGTCATGAAGGCGCTAGAGCCCCTAAAGGTCCAACTCTGGAGGGGAGCCAACAGGCTCACGTCTCTGGTCCCTCCTCCGCCTTTCGGGGGGAGGCCCGGCATACAGAAGAAGGTGTTCATCGTTTGCTCCAACCCCGTTGGCTCGTCCTTCTCCAACGCCATCGCCGACTCGGCGGAGAAGGGCCTGCTAGCCAGTGGCCACCTCATCCGGCGCATCAACCTCTACTCCATGCCGAGTGAAGTTGGGGGAGGAGAGTTCCGGTCGCTGCTCTCGACAGATGAGCGGCAGAGCTACTTCCAAGAGAACAACCAGCCTCAGCTCAGGCAGGACAAGCACGTCGAGCACGTGGTGGAGAGCTTGAAGTGGTGTGACAGCCTGGTGCTGGTCTACCCGACCTGGTGGTTCAACATCCCTGCCATCCTCAAAGGATTCTTCGATAGGTGCTTCGTCCCGGGTGTGGGCTTCAAGTACGATCCTGAGCTCGGCCAGAGAACTACAGGGCTCAAGAACATCGAGCAGGTGTGCAGGTCCGTCGTTGTGCTCAGAGTAAGATGACGTGCCTTGTCTTCAGGTTGCTGTCATCACAACCTACGGATTCTCTTGGCTAGAGGTCATGAAGGCCGGAGACGCCGGAAGGCGGATGATCTCAGGTGGAATGAGGATGCTGTTTGCTCCCCTCTGTACCCTCAAATGGCTGGGGTTGTACGAAATGCAGTCAGCTCAACCTAGGGAGGTAATGATCTCAGTGCATGCCCAACAAATCCTGATTTGTAAGATTGTCTCTTCACTGATGGAATCGTGTTGTCTGGTGTAGGTGCGCACGGAGTTCTTGGAGGAGGTTGAGCAGGCCTTCAAGGAGTGGTGAAAACCTCCATTGAAAGGAAAAAAAACGTTTATTCATGGTTTAAAAAATTAAAGAAACAATATCTCTATCGTGCCGAACAAAAACCTCTATCATATTCAGCTAAACTGAGAACCTTGAATGGAGTCTTTGCAACAGAGCAAATATGATTGCATTTACATTGTCGTCCAGTACAGATTTTCTTGCTGCACTCGACCGAGATTCGCGTCATGTTTTAAGATAGATTTCTGTTGAGTGTCCCACTCGATCTCAGGCAGTTCAGCCGAGCTCTTCTCCCCCTTGACTGCAATGCGCAGCTCCACCAGCCTGATTGAATGCGCGAGAGCGCGCAAAGATGAGCGCTTTGTGGACGATAGACTCTCCCATTTGGACCTTGACAGTTTGAATGGGATCTCTTCCTCAAGAGATGAAACGGCGGGATGTGCTGTTGGCTCATCTGGACTCCAGGAGGGTTGTCTCTCGGTATCGAGGACGATTGAGCGAGAGCTTGGGATGGAAACTTTCATGGTGAGAGGAGAGCAGCAGAACCACGCAGTGGCTCTACAATGTTCTCATAAAGACAAATCTGCAAGTTGGTCTTGAAGCTCAGGGAGTTTGTCTTGTGTTCGAACTCTTGAACGGCTAGCTCCTCTTGCAGGTAATGAACGCGAAAGTCGATGTGGTACCGTTCGGAGGAAGAGAAGGGGAGATCCTTGGGCAGGAGCGGAGAGGGTTGCGGAGGCTTGAAGGGCAAAGGAGCACGAGGGCGGTACGTTTGAAGAGGGGAGGGAGTTGGTTACGGCGTCTCGGTCATCAAGAAGGGATAAACCTTCCACAAGAGGAACAAAGAGGAAACAAGGAGTCGGAAAGACTCTTGGACGATACACCGGGGCACTACTGGGAAAAAGAGGGATGGGTCATGTACCTACCCATTAAATGACCGAAAAATCAGGTGCTGATTGGGGTCGGGGTACAGAGGAATTCGACTTACCAGGGGTGGGGTACAGCACATGACACTGTCACGGCCGTCATCCATCTGACCTTGAGATGCAACGTTTCCGACTTTTTATAAGACATGCTGACATGTCAAGGGACCAAAATACTTGTATACAATATTGTATAAAATGCTACAACACAATTTTAGCTTTTCTTGGAGTTAGGGCATCATGGGGTGGGATAGTGTCGGAAATACCGGTTTATTCTCTTTTTTCGGTACTCTTCCCAGATGGGGGGTGGGGGTGAGATATTCAACAGGGAGGTGGGGTCCTCCTCAAAGTCATGAACCTGCACTCCCAATTGCAAATGGTTGCGTCGCTTCATCGACATTGCATATTTGAAATATGAAGGACAAATTTGAAAGATCTCTCCAAGTAAAACCAAGTTGAGTGACGCGGTACAGAATTGTACTCATCATCATCATCATTATTATTAGGCGCGGCTAACGCGAGAGCAAAATCCAATTTTCCTGGTACTAATTTTAGTCAACACATCTCGGGTGATTTGAAATCTTCCCTGGATTTCTGTTAAAAGTGAATTATAAACAAAATCTTTTCAGACGAAAAGCAATCTTCAGATTGCATTTCCCTTAGGCACCGATGGACATGCAGCAAGCGACATGATGCGAGGATCATGATGAATGGGAGGAGGAATGATCTGAAGACGACTACGACGACGGATGGCAGTAGGGGTTTTATGGAAGCGCTGAATTGCGTAGCGTAGGTACTAAAGTTTTACTTAAATTGGCTCTGAATTCAGACACTATTCAGGGTTTGAATAGTCTCCTATGTCACTATTCAGGGCCTGAATAGCGTTTGAATAGCTAAATCGCAACGTTTCGACATCTCGGTAAAAGCCGACGACCCGCCCCCAGACAGGGCGTTCCACACCGCGTTCACATGGCGTGAGCATGCTCGCCCGACCTCCTTGTCGTGTACCTTGGCCTCCCCATCTGACTGACAACATGACGTCAACACCCATCCTGTCAGAATAGACTCGTGCAAGTATGCAAGCATGAGCGTACCCTGACTCTTTACAATCGGTTCTCGCGCTCGTTGAACGTCACTGAAACAGCAATATTTTGATGATGACTGCTTCCCTGTTGTGTGCTCCATGAGGACAATGGCTCTGAGATTTTGAATGACATCGTTTACTTGAACACATGGCCACATACAGAACGTTTTCACAGTAACATACATAGGTTAAAGAAATAGCAGAGGTAAAGCGGAAATTGCAACGGGCAAACGTCGCTGCTTTCTGAGAATCAGTGTGTCAAGCTATGCAGATTCCAGTGAATTGCTCCTTGGAAAGCGTGCATTGGAACCGCAAATCCTAAATGGAAGACCCAGACATCGAGAACATTCGCTGGAAGTGACGAAGTTCATGCAATAAAAGACTTCATAATTTACCGTTTCATGTTGTTGATGTTCTGCATGACTGCATCAGGCATACTACATGAGAGAATCATGCAATATACGTGATGCTGGAACCTCATACAAGTGCAGCATGACCTTTGCATGCGCATCCGATCTTCATTCTGTCCTCATTGCATGTCTACCTCATGAACTTGAATGCATCGGTGGAACAAACTTCTAACAGTTCAAAAAAAGAGTGGATTGTGGTACAAATTGATAACTGGAGTCTTGAACTGGGGTCACCTATGGATTTAACCTAGATCTTAAGCCCTTTCTCCAGGTTAACTAAAGTGGGCACACTACGCTACGCTATTCAGAAGGACATCCATAAAACCCCTAGTCTTCGTGCATGTAAAAGCGTCTCAAAGGGCATGAACATTTATCAAAATGACCTATAGAATCACCCATAATGCCACTGGAAGGCGAGCTCTCTCAACATGCAGAGGAAGATTTGACAGGTATACATGGGTAAAACCTCTTTAAACTAATAAGAGGCTTTCGAATCTTTGAAACCAAACTCTTTACAATATGGATTCCTTCTCACCTTCCACCCCAGGTCGCTAGTATCCGCCCTTTTTTCCAACGATGCCACCCCTCCTTCCTTCCTTGCCTCCATCTCCTTTGCCGCAGTTCGTTTCTTGCCAGCCTGAGCATTCTTTGGTACTTTCAATAGCAAGTTTCCTAAAGAACGGGTCCACTAGCCTCCATGACAGTAGAAAGCACTCTCAGCCAACACAAAGTTGTGTTCCAGAATCTCGTTTCCTTCAGCCCCCCCCGGCTCCCTCCCTGTGTCATCGGGAGACAACCAACATGTATAATAGAGGAAAAGTTGCATATATGCGCTCGGAGCAAGAGGAACCAAACAATCAGCACACGCTGTGTCTCAACTTTCGTTCGCATCCGCCATGTGTGCGATGATGGAGATGGCTGGGAATTTGAACACAAACGATGACAAAAATAGCAATTTACACTCTAAAAACGGATTCAAACTAAATTGTTGTATTTTTCAAATAAATTTCAGGGTCTGAAATATTCCAGGATTTTGTTGCCAATCTGCTCTCGCGTTAGGCGAACCTTATTGTATCGCAGGCGGAATTTTGAAAAAAGTCCACTCGTTGACTAAAACCACCAGTACCTCGTAATGGTACCATTGTACTGGTCTTTAACTTAACTTTGAGTAAAGAGACCCTCGACGGAGATGAGCCGTGCTGTGTCAGTGCCATAACTTGAGCCCCGGCCGCGGGCCCGGTGCCGCTGTAGTGACCGGCAGACACTCAGGGCCGGCGAGACTGCTGACTTCGGAAATGGAGGGGTTTCGGTTACGACCCTTCGGACGAGTAAAACAGGATGTTAACATTATTTTAAAATTGAAAGTTGACAGGCTGACAAGAGTTTAACTCATCAAAAAACAGCTTTCGTACCGCAAAGATCACTTAATATGGATGAGTAAATCGAGGCGGTACCACTGTGACTGGGCCGCGAGCGGACGCTGCTGACGCAAACGCAATTCATCCCTTGAGTAAACCCATAGGGTGACAAGGGAGATACACGACCGACCTCTTTCAGCCTTCAAGAACTCTTCTTCCTTCCTCCCCGCTCATCGCCTTCAGCTGTGCTGACCGCCATCTTTGGCTGCTTCCCCTCCCCTCACTCCCGTCCTCTGCGGTCCTGCCGTTGGATCAGGTTGACAACTTCATCTCCTCGCGCTCGTGCCTGCATTGCGCTGAAACCCTCCATTCGCAACCTTTTCAACTTGTTCATTGCATGCTCTCTTCCATCTTCCCGCACTTCACCACAGCCAATCTAGCAATCTGTCTCAATCCTGCGTGTATCTGCACTCTCTATATCCGTTCTCCTTCTCACTTGATCTCAGCAGGAGCAGAAGGATCTTTCTACTTGCAAGAAGCGCTTTCGTGCATGCCGCACCGTAGCCTACTCTCTCCCTCTGACGTCTGAATGCTCCCTGTCGACGGCAAAGACGCGATATGGGAAATCGCCCCCGGCCCAGAAGAGAGAAACTTTCAGTCGCTGCCATCGCACAAACACCGTGCTCTGGTTGCCCTCAAGCACTCCATCTGTATGATGTTGAAGCGCATCTCAGAGAAGGACCCTGGAACCACAGCGGTCCTCCCGTCCCTTGAGATGGTGGACGAGGGAGGAGAAGCCGTGTGACCTTTCCAATTGGATCAGGGTGAAAAGAATGTGGCATTAGGGGCAAGGTGAAAGAATCTCTTGCTCGTCGTCAACAAAGTCAGGCGAAGGACTCTCAAAGGGCTGAAAGCATGTAATGGCTAGATGTGCTCTCGAGTATGACCCGTGGTGGCCGAGAGAGCCTGTCTAGTACGGGTGGTTTCCTCACTCCTGGTAAGAAGTGGAGCAGAAGCTTGTGAGAAGCGAGAGCTTGCACGGGGCGAGTGTGATCGTGCAGCAAGGAGCACTACCCCAAGTCCTTCCCTACCCCTATAAGGATCAGCCTCTTCTGTTAGAAGGGTCTGTCTTTTCTCTTGCTGCGTGTACCACGAATCGATAGCGTGTGTTCGTGTTGTCAAATAAACTCATATCTCTGCTCTTCACCTTTGTGTGTGTAGCAGCGGAGATGCCTTGAGCTTCGCTGCTGAGTCGCTGTAGACGTCTGCAACCCGTAAAGCTTCGGAGTGTGACAGAGGGCTGGACTGACGTGCAGCTTTGTTACAACTGCTGCAATGAGTTACACACTGTCCACAATGAGTAACAGCCGGCAAACGTTTCAATTTCCTATCAGCTCATCACTGTTTTGCAAAGGCGAGTTTCCCCAGGACTGAAAAATATCTCAGCCTTCCAGTCACTGAGACGAGCATGCATGGAAAGCCGCAGGAGAACGATCCCAGTGATGGCTTCTATTACTTGACAACTCAGCACTTCAATCATAGTACGTGTTTGGCAAGCTCCGAGCGGCTCCGAGTGGCCCTCCGCACACAGGCTGCGGCGGCAGCCGCGACTGCACACAGTACCGTCCGGCGCCGGTACGGTACAGAGCCGGGCTGACGGTGCAAACAATGCGGCGGCGGCGGGGGCCCGGCCCCGGGGCGTCCGACCAGCCGCGCCGGCGAGTGACTGCTGGCACGTGGCCCATGACCATGCCGCCCGCGGCAGTGCGGGGCCCATGACCGTACGTGGGGGATCCGACCGTGCCACCCGGGTGCTCGCCAAGTCGGGACCGGGGCCGCCGGGACTTTCATCCGGGACGGCCCCGGGCCCGCCCGCAGTGAGCGGCCGCCCCGGCGGTGCGCCGGGGCCCGGCCCGGCCCGGCCCCCGCCGCCGCGCGGCGCCGGGACGGCGCATTCACTGTACGGTGAATGGACTCCAGGCTGCCGGCGAGCCGATCGGAGTCAGTGACTACGGTCGTGTCGGCCCAGGCTGAGTCATCATCCCCATGATCCCGATGATCCCGAGTCCCGGTCCGGCGATCCACGGAGGCTGCCGGGCCTGGCCCGACCGTTTCAACTTCCGGGCCCGGCGCGGCCATGACCGTGAGTCCGACCGTCACCGGGTCCCGGACTCCCGGAGTCGGGGGCCGGCCCAGGCTCCGAGGCTCTGACTCCGCACTCAGTCATCACACGGATGTGGTCGTTACATACCGTTACATTTTTATGATAACCCCTTCTTTTACATGTAGAAGGAGGGGTGATTTTCGTTTCCCTGTTCCCCGACAGACATCGTATCGCCACACCTGTTCCCGCTCCACTCCCGCCAGACCTTCGTCCTCTTCTCTCTTCTCTTCTCTCCTCCTCAGATTCTCTCCTCGGCTCCCTCCCTCTTTCACTGCATTCCTTCTCTCCTCTCCTTGCTCCTCCCATCTGCTCCTCTCTCAGCCCTTCATCCTCTCATTCCTGTATCCATTCAGCTCCCTTCCTGGCTCCCCTCCTCGCTCATCTCCTTCTCCTCCCTCATATCCATTTCCCCCCATCTACTCCCTGGTCCCTTTAATTCTTCCTCTCCTCCCTCCTCTCGTTCCTGGATTGTACCTCTATCATCAACTAACGACCCCTTCGCTTTCGTGGTGGCAGGACGGGCAGCTTCCTAGGTTGCACTCGCTGCCTTCATTCCTGCTGCTTCTACCTTGGATTCTAGCTCCGCTCCTCAAGAGATGTAGCGGGAGGTGGCCGGGAAGGAAAGGACTGGTACGAGCATGTCTGTGAAGCAAGCAGCTTCATGCATGAAAGGAACATGCGCTGGTCCGAAGGAATTCAGCGACAAAGGAGGAGTCTGAGGGATAGGAATCGAGCGATGGAGACTCACAGATGAATGCTGGCTTACGGTGTCGGCTCGTGGCTCAGAGTGAAATGACATCAACGGCGTTGAGAGGATGAGGTGGAGTATTCCCTGGATCAGTTTGCTGTCATTCGTCTTGCTCCTTGCTTCGTCAGCGCAGGCATCTCGATCGCAGATGTAGAGAGGCGTGTGCGTGGTACATACTGATGCAGCGGGCAGGTGGCGGGAAGGGAGCTGGGAACATGAATACTCTCTGCTGCATGAGAAGATCCTTCAAGGTTTACCGGATGGTCGCGATAGCCAACTCAGCTGCTCGTCCAGGAGAGGTGGAGGAGCGAGACAGGAAGTTCCTGGTTTGGACATGCGGCAGGAAGTTTCGCAACGACGACTGTGTGGGGTACGCTAACAGGCTGCTGGGGCTGGCGTCGGTGAGATGGAGAGGAGGAGCTCTGAGGAGAAGGAGGCTCACTTACTAGCAGGCGTTTCTTGCATCCGTTCTCTCCTCTCGCGCCCTCATCATCCTGTGGCACGGTGAGCCAGCGGTGGGCGGGGAGGAGGAGCTGACAGGCTGTGGAGGGGAGGAGAGTTTACAGCTGCACAACTTCTTCCGGTCGAGCTTGATTGACTGGCGGTTCACCGAGGACGTCAAGAGGGTGATCGGAGACCGTGAGAACCATCACAACCTCACAGCTTGCTTGCTGCCCCTGACACCTTCCTTGTCTTGTTTCCTTGTTGTGTTGCTGTGTTGCTGTGTTGCTGTGCTGTTGTGCTGTTGTGCTGTTGTGCTGTTGTGTTGTTGTGTTGTTGTGTTGTTGTGTTGTTGTGTTGTTGTGTTGTTGTGTTGTTGTGTTTTTGCGTTCCTGCCTGCCTGCCTGTCTCTTTCTTCCTGTCTCCCTTTTGCACACTAAAACACCGTCTTGGTGTAATCTCTCAATTTTGTGGCTTCTTTCTTCAACTCCGATCTTGTCTTGTCATTCCCAAACACTTTGAGTTCTCCTTGTCTTCCTGCCTGCCTGCCTGCCTGCCTGCCTCTCGTTCCCCTTCCCTTGCTTCTTCCTCCCTGATCGCTCCCCCTCCTGCAGCACGCAGCATTCCATGGACGGAGCTTGACTTCACCACTCGACATGTGTCGGAATGGGACCATTCCTCCGTGCGCAACAGCGTCTGCCCTGCTCCCTCCTCACCTCCCTGCAGCGAGTCGTCCTGGTCACGATGGAGAAAGCCGACTTCCGGGACCTCTGGAGGTCCAACAGGGAAGAGATCCTTCAGCTGGGGATCAGTAAGACCCTGTTCGAGCTGGTTGCCTGCTGGGTGATAGGGGGTAGATGACCAGGAGGAGATCATGGGGCGGACTCTTCCGCTCCTGCTGCAGCCCACGGGGAAAATGCTAGAGGTGAGGAGGAGGAGGAGGAGGAGGAGGAGGAGGAGGAGGAGGAGGAGGAGGAGGAGGAGGAGGAGGAGCAACGAAAAGTAGACACGAGGGGGATGATAGAGAGAAAGTCATCGCAAAGCAAGGACGATGTTCGACTCTGAGCAAGGAGAGCATCAGTTGATGTCTGCCTTTTACAGCAAGTGAATCGTTTTCATCATCTGGCGGGGGGTTGCTTCGTTGTCGGCTTGCAGGTTCCGCACACTCCTCCTGCTCCTGCTCCTGCTCCTGCTCCTGCTCCTCCTCCACCATCTCTTTTGCCTCCTGCTCATCCTGCTCCTGCTCCTGCTCCTGCTCCTGCTCCTGCTCCTGCTCCTCCTCCACCATCTCTTTTTCCTCCTGCTCATCCTGCTCCTGCTCCTGCTCCTGCTCCTGCTCCACCATCACCACCCTCTCCTCCCTCCCCCCCCCTTTTTCGTATGTATAATTCGACTTTGCCAATTGCTTGTTCTTTACGCGCTCTGACGCTATCAATCTGTTCTATTTCTTCCTTCACCCTCTCTTCCTCTTCTCCGCTCCTGCCTCCATCTCCTCCCTCCTCTCCCCTTCTCCCTCTTCCTCTCCTCTTCCTCCCCTCCAGATTCGGGTTGCAAGGGAAGCTCGTCGGCTGCTACCTGCTGTCCTGAGCCCTACCATGTCTCGGTGAGCGCGTTTGGCTCTTTGAAGACTGACAGCGAGCAGGAGGGCGAGGACGTGGACGAAGAAAGTGATGCTGTCACTTGACGACCTGGATCGTTTCTATGCTGCTGCTCTTCATGCCGAGCAGGAAAGAAAGTCTTTGAAGACGGGGAGGAGGAGGAGGAGGAGGAGGAGGAGGAGGAGGAGGAGGAGGAGGAGGAGGAGGGAGGAGGGAGGGAGGGACGTAAGGTTAAAGTGGGAGGAGACGAAGAACGAGGA